TTTATAGACCTATGAGGCTTGGGAAGGCTCCTGCTACATCTGTGAGAGCCAAAGTTGTTTTACAGCCCCAATTCTTGCAATTTCACCAGGAAATGAAGAGAAAGATAAGCTGAAGTAACACGTTGAAAATAGCCAGGGATCAGAAATAGTTTCAGTGTTAAAGAGAAGGGCAGAAAGCATCACAACTGTTGCACTTGTTTTGTTTTATAATGAAATAAATATACAAACAACTGCACATTCAAATTTTTAACCACAATTCATTCCTTATTTCAAGCAGGATTTACATTGGATCATGGCACAGACCTCTTATATGAAAAGTCTTCCAGAATATATCAAAAGCCTTCCAGAATAAAGATATTTCAGGAGTTATTAGCAAGACAGATGAAGATTGCTTCAGCACTGAGAAGTTTGTGACAAGAGAGAAGAGCACAAGAGCACAAACTACTGTAGATGGCTCCACAACTATTTTTAAACCTCAAAAATTTAAAAGATGCTGCCCAGCCTTGCAGTGGGATTTCTTCTGGCAGATTGTTCAGTAACACGGTGCACACACAGAGCTTTGAGCCACCTTGTACCACGTCAGCTCCAACACCACAGCACACAGAACGGAGATCACCTTCTGATAAAGTTCGTTATACTGATGAGTTTAAAAGTGATGCTCTCTGAGAAATGGGGATACAATGGAAATACTTGCACACAAGCTTGGGATACAAAAGTCTGGGAGGAAAAAAATACTGTCACACTGGTCTCATCTTAAGGAATGCTCAGAAAGGTGCCATCCCCACCTGCAAAGCAGCAACACGTAATCCACCACAGCCAAACTCAATAAAGACACCCATTTTCCAAGCAAGCCAGAGAGAATGTTTCTGGAAGCCAATATTTTCTAGTCAATTGAGAATTGTGCAGAGCCAAACCAGACTCTCTACAAGGCTTGGCATAGCTGTGAACATGCACAAGTCCTTAACAGAGACATCTCTGCTGGCCACCAGCCCATCTCAGCTGGTTCTGAGGCCCTTCTGTTTGATCAGCACTATTTTGCTCTCAGCTGCAGACACAGCCAAGGGCAGTTGCTGCTCATCCAGGAGATTGTTTCCCTCTGACACCAACAGAACCTCATCACTTAACGCAACGAGACACTCGGGGTGTGCTGCTGGCATTCCAGAAACTCGGAGCTGACAGCCAAGCCCATCTTGCTCCAGCAGTGCCCCATACATCAAGAGGCAGGGACAGGCCAAATGGCTGCAAACTCCACAGGGTCTTCCAAGGGGAATGGCACCATCTTCAAATGCTCACAGAACAACCAGCACCGTCCTGGTGCCACACCACCATCCCAGCAGCGCTGCCTGCATCCCGAGGAACAGGCTCTGGGGATGTCACCTGCCATCCCTTGGAGCCTCCAGCACTTCCCCGTGCCCACACCTTGACAACAGCAGCAGAGGGTCCCCTCAGAGCAGTTTCTGTGCTCCACAGTCTTACTCCACTTGGCAGGTGTCTTCCAGCAAAGCTGGGTTCAGGTGTGGACACAGGAAGTAAAGCTAAGCCTTAACAACAGGGAGTTCAGTGAAAGTGTGGGACTGGAACCAGCACACACCAGTGGGACCCTCCCAGCCCATGAGGGAGGTGTGCTGGTGGCATCTCAATGAAGACTATCAAGTGCATTTTTCCTTATAAAGCTCTTCAGGCTCACCAGTGTTATAAAGAACCTCTATTTCACAGATTTGTTCCTCTTTTGATTTTTGTTATTTGAAAACTTTGTTGAGCCAGTCCAACCTAAAATGAAAGCTCAAGTGTGTTAACAAGCAGTGCACATCCACCCACCCTAAAAATGGAAAGACAAGAACTACTTTTTTCATTAAGGAAACATCTCCATAACTTACTCCCTCTCAGAAAGGTCACATCTGTACCACAGAGAGAGACATGATTTGAAAATCATAAGCTAAAAAAAGCCTTTCTAGATCCAGAAGCCATAAAACAAAGCCCCTGTTTCATATAGAGATATAAAGCACTTAATCAGCTGAGATGTGACTACAAAAGCACAAGTGTCCTCTTTCCCAAAACACAGGTCCAGTGGCTGCTGGTCACTGAGAGAAGCACTTCTCACAAAGCAAAGCTGATTTTTTCTGTTTTAAAGAACTCTGGAAGGTTGTGCTTTTCCACTGTCAGCAGTTTTCCAGCACACAACCTCCTCTGTGTCACTGCTAATGACATAACACACAGAGACCATTGGCTGAGGGAATTATTTTTCTCCCTATAAGGATGGAAAGAATCAGGAAGAGTGAGCTTTCTCCTGAATATATTTGGCTCTGCAGAAGACACATGTGATACAAATGTTGCTATGGAAACTATTCTATTAAATAATATTAAATTAAATTTACATATTTAAAGTGTGCAGGAAGAGTTCAGGTACAAAACTAATTAGCCTAATTTCAATCTTGAAATTACAAAGCAGGGCCTACCACAACTGTCACGTTTCTTTTAAAAGAGCTTTAGATTTGAACAAGCTGCTTCTCGGCACCCCTTCCTTTCCAAATGGAGCACCTGCACTCCAGTTATTCAGAAAAGTCGTTTCTTAAGATAATTTCCAGACACAAGCTCTGCTCCCAGTTCCCTTGGTGATGGAATTACAGAGTATTACAGAGACTAACCCAGAGCTGGATTCAGTCTGAACAGACAATGCGCTGATTACAGCTCTGCCACCACAAAATGGGAATGTATTTTAACAACTCCCACTTACACCTCACCACACATGGAGCACTGAAATCCTTCTTAATTAAACAAGTCCTGCATGAGGCTGGAGTAGATTGTCCTTCCCTAATGTTTTCACAGCATGAGGAACTTTTTGAAAGTTAGTATTTTAATGTCTGAACTATTTTTCTTGGGTTAATCATAATTCCCCATTTCTAACCAGGCAGTGTAAATCAGGGCACTGGGCTTTCAAGTAGCTCACAGAAAATGCTACAGGAAGAAATCTGCACCCACATTTCAACTGTCTGTTCTTGAATCATGGGCCAACACTCCAGGCTGGAAACCACCAGGAGAGAAAAACATTATCCAACTATTTATTTCCAAAGAAATGGAGCAGGATTTGAACAGGTCACCGCTCCCTCATAGCACAGGCATCTGGTACCAGATCTAAAGCAGTGACAGCACCAACCACCTTCCTTCCTAAGGTCCTCCACAGCATGGGAAAGCTGTCAGGATACGACACCCAGAGCCAAGGGCAGCAGCTCAGGGCTCTTCATTTTAACACACCCACAGTCAAAGGAACTCTGTGAGATTTCTCTTGGATTCCTTCACAAAACCACTCTTCATCACACCTTTTGCACTTTCGAGCCACTGATAATGACACAGACCTTTGGAATTAGAAGGAGCGAGATGAAATAAAGAAATCTGTGTTTTCAAAGAAAACACTTAACATTTGTTCCATTTTCACAAACTCTGTGTCATTATCCATTTCTTCCCCTATTTTTGTGTTCAGCTGTCACATGCACATCTACTGAGAGGGCATTGAACCACCTCCATCCTGAGGATGGTCTGAAAAGCCCTAAAAAAGGCAAGGCAGAGGCATCAACAGAATTTACAGAGTTCGATGCACCTTATTCACACGTCCATTGAGTTTCTCTGTTACAGAATGGAAATATGTATCATAGTTTAATCTTACTCATCGTTTATGCTGGAGCAAACTGAACACTGATATATATCCAGTAATGAAAAGGTAGTCATGATACACTAATTCTGCCAGATTTACTACAAGTCCTCTCCTAATGATGTGTCCTCCATCTGCCACAGAATCACCAAGTTCCTACAGAATGAACTCTGCCTGCAAGTACATGTATGAGAAAACCAGCCAGATGGGATATTTTTAAATGCCTTCCCGTTCCAAAAAAAAGCCAGGGAGACACAAGTTAGCAAAACTGTAGAGAAGTCACTGACCGTGGATACAGCAAGAGAATGGAACTATAATTGCAATGAGCCAGCAAGAGCTTTCAGAGGATCACACACTTCTCCCTACGCAAAAAAAACCCTGATGCAAAACTCACACTATGGACAATTCAGAACTGCCAACCCATCAGTTCTCAGTAAACACAAGAAATTAATTCCTTTCCAGTTCTCGAAGGCAGATATACTAATTAAAAGATTTCGTATACACAAAACCTCCGTCCAGGTGCATCCCCTTAAGCCCCGCTGGCTCCCGAAGAGAGACAGGAGGTGTGGAGCCAGTCCCGTCACCTGAGCGGCTCCGGTAGCTCGCTCAGGGAGCAGCAGCTCATGGACCGCAGGAGCAGAGCAGGATTTCAGAGCACATCCCATCCCAGATACAGCGGGAAACTGCCATGCCACTACCGACATACAACCCAAACTAGGGACACGCCATGGCAGCCAAAGAACAACCTCAAAATAAGTTTAAAATTAAATACGGAGCTAAAGCGGGTTTTGTGGATTTCCATTTTGCGCGACTCGAACGAACTTAAAAGCCTTGAAGGCATCGCAAGGTCTTCACCTGTCTCACGCAAGACCTTAAAGCCCTAATTTGCAGCAGGAACAGCGGCACCTGAGCAGCTCTGAGCCCTCATCCCCGGCCAGAACTGCCCCGCAGCCCCAGGGCGGCGGTACAGCCACCCCCATCCCCGTGTGCCCCCCGGACACCCCCAGCCCCGCACGGCCCCCGCAGCCCGGGGCGCTCGGAGCGAAGGGCAGCGCCGGGAGGCGGAGGCAGCGCAGCCCAGCCTTGCAGGCAGGCAGCATCCCCGACTCCCGACGGGAGAGATGGGGAAGAAAAAAAAAAATATATACATATAAATAATGCACATTATATGTTGTGATAGATTTAGGTGCCTTTATTCTTTCCTCCCCCTCCCCCCTGATCTTTTTGTTTCCTCTCTCCGCGCTGAGCTCAGTTTGCAAAAGGAGGACAAAGGAGTGGCAGGAGATAAAAAAAATAAAAAATAAATAAATAAAAGAACCACACGCAAAGCCCCGAGGCAGGTGTCGGCACTCACCCCGAGCCGCCGGCTCCGGATGCGGACGTAGCCCTGCTTCACGATGTCGTTGAAATTGGAGGCCATCCTTCCCCGGGACAGCGGCGGTGCCGCTCAGCCCCTCAGCCCGCCCGCATGGCGAGAGCAGCCGCCGGAGCCGCGCCCCGCACCGCCCCCCGAGCACCGCACCGCCTCCCGGAGAGCTTCGCACCGCCCCGCACCGCCCCTGGAGTGACCCGCACCAGCCCGCACCGCCCCTGGAGCGACCCGCCCCGCCCCGCACGCCCCTCGGAGCGCTCCGCACCGCTATACCCCGCACCACCCCCGGAGCGATCGCAGCGCTTCACGCCGCTCAGCGGAGCGCTCCGCACCGCCTCCCGCACCGCACCGCACCGCACCGCACCACCCCTGAGCACCCACCCCGAATCCACCCAGCAGCGCCCCGGGCTGTGGGAAGCGCGGTGGCAGCGCTCGCCCACCCTCCTGCACCCACACCCCATCACCCCGCGATGTCCCCTCCAGCTGCAGGTGGCTCAGCACAGAATGACCTCACCTGCCCCACCGTGCTGGGACACATCGCTCGGACCTGTGGTTTTCCCCAGGAAAGCGGGTTTCCCAGAAAGTCTCTCAGATGCTTGAAATTCTGCCAAGGCTCTCCAGAATCCACTTCTAAAGACAAGCAACCTGAGCTGCTGCCCTGTGGCCGTGCCTCGTGCCATGGGAATGTCACACCAGCCTGTTTTTTAGGCAATGTGCAGTTGCAGTGAGGGCTGACTTTGCCTGGCATTAGGCCCTGGGGTTGCCTTTGGCAGCTCCCAAGTTGTCCTTTTCCAGGAACGTGCAAACATTGCCAAGTACACCAGGAATCCAGCAGAGAGGGGCTCTGGTGACTCCACATGTGTTACCTGTTAGTGGCATGCTATAAATACTGTGTCCTGGACAGAGGGACTGCTCATCTCTTCATAACATCTTTTAATAGCATCACAAATATAGGCCCTCCGAGGAGGTCAGCCAGATGGATGACTTTGTCTTTGGGAATTATCCTGCCGTGGAAATTACAAACAGGGCAGCGAGGAGGAAAGCGGAGCAGAGAAGCACCATGGAGCACACAAGGAGCACAGGGCCATGGGGAAGTGATGCCCATGTTTATTTAGTCGTTCAGTGACCACAAAAGTCACCTCTGATAAAACTGGCCCCTTTCTGGTTTAAATATGTAGCTTCTTCAATTTAGGAGCAGCCAGAAATGATGGTGGTTGTTCTGCTGCAGTAATAGCGTGGTGCTCTCAGTTCTTGCTTGAAGAGGTGATTATTTTGCAAGGCTTTGCGAAATATTAATTGATGGAGTGGATTACAGAGTGTAGGACTCTCCAGCTGAAGGGCTAATTCACTCAGGATAAAGGAGACAAGCCTGCAGTCTTTACTTTGGTATTTTACACTTCCCGTTCCTTTTCACTGAGCTGTTTTACAGAATGCATAAAATGGAACAGCTTCAGCCATGTGGAACCTTCCACACCCATGAACCAAAATACACCAAAAATGAGAACATTCTGAGGCAAATCTGTCTGTTGGGTAATATGTCCTTAAGGCCATCAAGATGATAAGAGGGATGGAGCAGCTCTGCTGGGAGGAAAGGCTGAGGGAACTGGGTTTGATCAGCCTGGAGAAAGAACTTTCAGGGTGACTTAATTGTGGCCTTCCAGTACATGAAGGAGCTACAAGAAAGATGGAGAGAGACTATTTCCAAGGGCCTGGAGTGACAGGACAAGGGGGAATGGCTTCAAACTGACAGAGATTAGGGTTAGGTGGGATACTGGGAAGAAATTGTTCCCTGTGAGGGTGGTGAGGCCCTGGCACAGGTTGCCCAGAGAAGCTGTGGCTGACCCATTCCTGGAAGTGTCCAAGGCCAGGTTGGAAGGAGATCGGAGCAACCTGGGCTAGTGGAAGGTGTCCCTGCCCATGGCATGGAGTTGGAATGAGATAATCTTTAAGGTCCCTTCCAACCCAAACCATTCCATGATCTGTGAAATCAACACACAAGCCGCATAGGACAAAACCACGAATAACAAAAATGCACTTTGTTGAATATGTTGTAGAGCCCCTAAATCAGTGGCAATGCCAGTTCCACGGTGCCAAGTGTTAGATTTCAGCGCTGGTCCAAAGCTAGAAAAGTTCAACCCCCCCCAGCCTGCTTCATCTTGTATGGAAGTGTGTGTTCAGTGCAGAGACATGTTTCACTGTCTCAAGCACCATAAAAATACTAATGCTGGAAGCATCAAGTACGTTCTAAACTCAGGATTATTTAAAAAAAAAAAAAAAAAAAAAAGAAAAACAGAGAGGCTTATTTTGGTTTCAAAGACATTTGTAGCAGGAAAGAAATTACAGAGCCACTTTAGATGTCTTTTCAACAAGTTTAGACGCTTCTTCTAATCCCTTCCAATACCTAAACACACGCTGGTGATTTCATTAGTCACTGGCATATTCCTGCAGGTAAACACATTCCTAAGAGCTTTGCTAAGTAAAGGTGGATTTAAGCCTGTGCTTATTCTTTGATGAATTAGGATATTAGTGTCCACTTACATTTTCACTTTGAACAACATAAATCCCTTACATATGCCGTGGTTCAAAGACAAAATGCATTTTAATTCCCACGTGTGCAATATGTTCAAAGAACGTGCCAGAAAATCTCATTGTTCGGGTTTTCAACTCAATGCTATCGCTAGAAAAAAACTTGTTTACCACTTTTTTAATATGCAAATGTGTGCCCTGGTTGTTTTGACAGAGTCCTTCTTTCAGCTCATTTCTGTTGACCATCAGCCCTCACTACCAGGATATGTTTTATTATATCCACCTTTATCTATATTCAAAACTGTCTACAACCTTTTTAATAAGATTTCATTGAAATTCTTTTCCTTTTCAATGACAACCATTATTTCTTAGGAAGGTAAGAGTCAAAGGTCACTTTGAAGTACCAGCCTGCTGTTAATAATTTAAGTGGATCGTTGTTATATTCTAATCTCATAACAACTATCATTGTACTGCCCTACAATGAGCTCATTTGCTTTTAGCCCTGTGCAAACAGAAATCACTGTTACAGATTTTAACTGGAAATGAAGGGAGAGCTCACTTTTTCCCAAAATGCCATCCTGACGTTTTAAAAACAAGTTACATTCACCTTATTATATTTGCAGCACATCGTCCCCTGTGTCTGTGGTATTATTTTATCACAGTCCACGGGTGGAATTTGACAAACACTCCTGAGACTTCCCAAGTTAAGGGATAAGAAACTGCCGAGGCCATTTTGAGGAAGCAATATTTTCTGTGGAAGTTATTTCCTTGAACAGATGGAGCTGGGACTAGTCAAGCATTTCCTGACAAAAAAAAAAAAAAAAAAAAAGTTTCTTATTCGATCACCCTGAAATGATTTGCTGGAAATCTATAACACGCATCAATATTTTTTTATGAAAAGCTCCCACAGTATTTTGTCTTCATAAGGTCAAGATGCCAACATTTTTCCACTATAGTTTGGATTTTTCAGAGTAGTTTAGAGCTGATAACATCACCAGGAATTGTTCCTGGCCTTTTCAAGTGCTTTGAGGTTACTGGAATGCAATATTTCAAACACAGTATCTCCATGAAAAGCTTTTGGGCATTCCTATGTCTAATTTTGTTTGGGTGTGAGATACATTTTCGACATTTCCTTCTGATTTTTTCAGTGGGAATTCTGAATTTGGATTAGTTCTAGCTGCAAGGGAATGCAACAGATAATGAGCAACAGTAAGTGGCTGGAATTCTTTTTAAAAAGTAATGATTTTTCCTGTCTTACTCTTTCCTGTTTGGAAATTCCTTATTCTCCTTTTTGCAAAGGCAGACCTGCAGTGCTGCCTTGGATCGGTTAACTTTGGAAAAAGAAAACCCAGAGTTTATTCTGAATTTATTTCTTTCACAATGCAGAGATTGGATTAGTGTTGCCTTATAACTGTGGCTTGTTCTGCCACTGGTGCAAACACAAACCACACACCAGACACACAGTACAAAAGTGCTCAGAAATTCACCGTTTATGTGTCATTGTGCTACTTAATTTTGAGTGAATTCATTCTGATGAAATGAAGATTTTCTCTGCTGTTACATTTCTTTTGTACATCTGTGTTTGTGCATCACCTAAGTCTTTGTTCCTAAGGTGCCAGTCAGGCAGCTCATGCAATGTCCAGCTCTCAGGCTGAGGAATAGCTTGTTGGGTCACAGAATTTAGGAAACCTCCATAAAATCTGTGCTTTTTGAGGCAATCTCCCTGGTGAAGTGAGGGCAGGACCCTGGGTTAAAACACCCTCATTCGCTCCAGGGATTTTTGAATATATTAGTTCTAAAACTGCATTAGTGAAATGCTCACATAACTCACTGACAGAATTACTATGCAGATGTCAGTCAGTGCCAAAACATGAAAATTCATGAGACTGAACAGTTAACTTAAAAAAACTCTCTCCCATAACAGAATGGAGGCATTGAGCTGCTTGTGCAGTAAACAGGAAAGTGCCTGCCAGCATAAGCCACTGATAATCAATATTTAATGAAAATAAATAATCTATTAACCAGGCTAACATGCCATTTTGCACAGTGCTATCCCAGTATCAGGCACTGAAATTACCTTCCCTCTGCATGATTCATTCAAATCATTCTGCTTCATGTAGAACAAGGTGGTGAAAGGCAAAGATAGTGCAGGGGGGTTGGGCAGCAAACAAAATACATCCTTTTCCTGGAAACTCTGGTTCTGATTGTAATATTTTGTCCCTAACAAAATTACTGTCAACACAGTGAATGTTAAGATAGGAATAAATATCTGCTGACTGAGTCTGCAAGCCAAGTGAATCCAGAGGAACATGAGTTATTGAAAACCCAACATTCATTTTGCTTGCTTTGTATTTCTGTGACAGTTACAAGCATTTAAGCACTTTTTCAGCCTCACTCTCCCCGAGACACACATCAAGGGACCTTCCTGCATCTGCACAGCATGGCTGGGGGGATTACACAGGACTGAGTGGCGGGTCACAAGGTCACCATCCATCCTCCCTGTTCCTACAGGTGATTTATCAGAGCCTGCAGTGTCTCTGGGACCGGCAGCTCGCTCTGATCTGTGGCTGTGGCAGA